AGTGGACACCAGACATTTTACCGGGTAACAAATCAGGTAAACTCAACCTGGTAAAGTGGACACCAGACATTCCACTGAGCAATAAATCAGGTAAAGTGGACTCCAGACATTGCACTGGGTAACAAATCAGGTAAACTCAACCCGTTATAGTGGACACAACACAAATATCTAGTCTAAGGGCGTTCCAAGGACGGGGTCATTATATCGAGTCCCTAACGCTGTTACATAACATGTGCCAAAACTATCACTTCACGCCTTTACGTCACCATCCGTCGTAGGAGTCGTGGCAGGGATTTTCTCTTGTGCCTTTCCGGTGTTTTGCCGTGAGTTACTGCAGCGTGACGGTGTACAACCCTCTCCTCCTCTCTCCCGCACGGATGGAAAAGGACGGGGAGGCGTGTTGCCCATTTGCCTGATAATTCCCTTTTGTGTGTGTTGGAATATTATACACCGGACGTTGAGCAAGCAGGATTAAGTGCACATTTGTGTTTGGCCGTGCTGGTGTGTTCCGATCTTTGAGCATGCAGAGATTTACACAAGTTTCCTTTACTTTCTCAGTTGCGTATTTAGTTGTTACGGAACAAACCGTAGAACACACTTAGTATCTAGTGAATAAATGATGGATGCATTAGCTGATTAACACGAGTTTCATTGAAAAATTTGAAGTATTTGATAACGTGACTGTAATTAAATCAGCGAACATTCATGGAATGGTCATTGTAGTTTTTTTTTTTTTTTTTTTTAATTAAATAATTATTATTCGGTATTCTTGTCGAACTTGAACATATGCAAATGAATTTTGTTTACCAGGGCAGAACTCATACACTCCTGCACCATCGTTCTCCGCTACTTTAGTCTCAGATTCATGAGAATGTGTTTGGATCCATGCTTCTGTAGGGCAACGTTCTCCGTACGTTTCACATGCAGCTGTTCTCTTTTGGGGTATTTAAGTCTTCTGTGTAGCAGGTGGTTGTGGTCGTTTTTTTTAAAATGCTGAGAGTTTGTCGGTGTTGTTGTACGACTGGGATGTGTCTTGTGATTTCCTGTACGCCTTTGTCATTATCCCTGTATTATCATCTAGTCGGTGGGAGCAAAGAAGCTTCACCAGTACTGGTTATGTCAGTATTTGTGTACCCAACACCCGTTATGCAGACTTGACTATTACCCAGTATCGAAACTTAACTAGAACTCTGTTTTATCTTTAACCTAAACAGTATCCAGTATTCAGACTTAACTAGAACCCTGTTTTATCTTTAACCTAAACAGTATTCAGACTTAACTAGAACCCTGTTTTATCTTTAACCAAAACAGTATCCAGTATCGAGACTTAACTAGAACCCTGTTTTATCTTTAACCTAAACAGTATTCAGACTTAACTAGAACCCTGTTTTATCTTTAACCAAAACAGTATCCAGTATCGAGACTTAACTAGAACCCTGTTTTATCTTTAACCTAAACAGTATCCAGTATTCAGACGTAACTAGAACCCAGCATACAGACTTAACTAGAGACCAGTATAGAGACCTTCCCCCTCCCCAATCAGTACCCGGTATAGACAGCTAACCAGTACCCGGTATAAGACTTAACCAGTACCCAGTATAGAGGCCTAAACAGTTCCCAGTAAAGAGATCTAACTAACACCTAGTTTACAGACTTTTTAACCAGCACATACATAGTATAGAAACTAATCCATTATAGAGACCACCAGTACCCAGTATAGAAATAGCTGGTACGTGACCCACCGGGGAAACAGAACAGTAACACCATAAGCTAACATACATGTCTTAAGTGTGTGGTTTGTCATGAGATTTGGGAGTGAGGAATATTACCTTATCCTCTTGAAAACTTCACACAAACCCCAAATAATTTATGAGCACATCTGCAAAGCGTTTGGCGTGAGTTAGTTGAAAGCCTGTACTCCACAGGGAGATAAAACCAGTAGAATGAGTATCCAGGTCAACTCCTCTCTGTTCTAATTGGGACAGTCCCTAATGTCCCGTTAATGGATTTTCTTGGTAACGAACATTTACGAGATTAATAAAGAGAAATATTATCTGGTGCGTGTTGTATGTGAGCGATTTCCCAGTCGGGGATGCGTGCGTGCGTGATTCTGGCCAGACAAATGTCAAACAGCGAGACTGAAGTTTCGTGTCGTCTGTCACACATAAGGCCATTTTATCCGTTACTTGTCTTCGGTCAGCTTTTCTGTAGTATGGGGTACATTTACCTTTCCTGGATTGGGTTTTTCTGACCGCTTAATTCGTAAATATTATGGTTTTTAGAATATGCTCCGTGATGTAATTTTATATAATTTTTGTTGGTGGTCTTATACAATTGGCTGGATATATATTTGCACACTGTTTCACCTGTCATTGCTATGACCGTTCTTTTGGGAAGACGCTATTTTTGGAATGCTAAAATGCTATTTCTGGTATCACGAGACGAGGGGTAGCTGTGTGTAACTCAAACCTCATTTCCTTCAGGAACATTGCTTAGTGTCACGCGGACGTTAACTCTCTGCCCACATGCAGTGTGAAGTAATAACGATGTGGTAGCGGGAGTTTCACAATCATAGAGGCTGGAGGGGTTAAAAGTGGCAGGTATCACAAAATCATTGACTCTTATCTGTCAGTGGATTCCGGAAGAGTGGGAGATGGACATACTGCTCTTTAATAAGCATGTCGTAAGAGATGATTAATGAAGAGTTTTGGGTCGAGAAAGGCGCACATATGACAGCTTAACTGGAAACCACAACACAGCGTTCAGTGTGAACGCAGAAGGAAGACGAATGAAACTCTACGACCAATAAGTTGTCGACATAACGCATTATATTTCAGGAAGTTGCTGTTTTTAGGAAGTCGGTTAAAATAACTGTTGAAGCGACGTAGTCAGAGTCAGCGTCCTCTGTAAATTGAGAGGAAATTTTAGCGGTTTAAGGTAGACCAGGTTGAGAAAATTCTGTGCTGAATTTGAGTGATCAATAAATATAATCCTGTTATTGGAATAAGACTGTAGCCCCTTAGAGAGAGGCCAGAGTTGCGGGACTTTATTCCCTCCATGATGATATCGAAGGGGTTGCACAGAATTGAAGCGAAGGAGAGTCAGGTCAGTCTGCTTGCCTTGTGGCGGATAATGGAGCTACATGTTGATGAAATAGAACGGACACATGAAAAAATATTTAAACAAACAATTAGGACATAAATATGTAATAATAATAAAAATAATAACAATTAGAGCTTTCAATATTCAAGAAATAACTATAACATTTATATATCCTCAAGTGCTAGGCCCTGATTTTCCGTGGTGGGCGGTTTATAAAAAACGACATATCGTCGTTTTCGGTCTGTGGTACGCGAGTAGTACCGTGGAAGACATTGAGGCTTCGCCATGTTATATTACCAAACATAGTACAGTAGTGGGTACACTGTAGCCAGTTTTCAATGTAAAGACAGCACTCGGTTGTTTAAAGCCTGTGTATCGTAAGATATAAATAACTAAGTTAGTGTAAGTGATCAAAGAATGATTGCTTGCTTGCTGAGTTAACTACCTGATATATCGATTGAATTTCAGAGAAGGATTACTGTGAATTCCTTGTAATGTGGTGACATTGCCATGGCGTAATGATAAGTGGGTTGAATTTCAGAGAATCATTATTGTGAATTCCCTGTACTGTGGTGACTGCCTTGGAGTATTGCGCAGACAGCTTGAACAAATGGTGATAATTTGATAGCGTTTAGTTGTGAGACTCGCCAGACATTTTCCCCGTGATTGTTAGTTTAACCTGGCACCGTTCCGGAGACTGCGTTGTGACACATTTAATATGGTGATTGAGGCTTAGATTAGAGTTTACTGTGGCCTGTGTGTAGGGGGCAGCACTGGATATTACACCATGATGACAAGCAAACAGGAGACTACTAGTGTCCCGGAGATGAGGTGCTCGGGTGTTCCTGTCATTACACGGTGTATATGAACACTGGGAACCATGTTCATGAGTCATGAGGTAGGCAAGAGCGGTGTGACCAAGGAGGGTAGTGGGTGTTGTTACTGATCTGTTGTGTAACGTGTGTGTGTGTGTGTGTGTGAGCGAGCGCGCTCGCGCGCGAAAAAAAAAGAGAGAGACAGAGAGAGAGAGAGAGAGAGAGAGAGAGAGAGAGAGAGAGAGAGAGCGAGCGAGAGAACGAACAGGCTTTGAAAAAATCGCCTAATGCAATCACAGACAGCAACAACAACAAACATGATGTTTGGGTTTTTCTTTTAAATAAAAAGAATTGGGCACGCAGGCCCGTCTATCATGCTGCCCTTCTGACCTCACTCCTTTGATAAATTATTGCATTCATATACTATTTAACAGGTAATTCCCTGCAAACTGAGACAGTTAAAGTATAGCCAAGAACCCTTCTTACACCAGTGGCTCTTCGGGCATATTATGAAACACATATTTTATAGGCGCCGCGGATCGGAAGGTCGTGGGTTCGCTCCCTGGCGGAGCCGGACTTTTCCTCAAAAATGACCTTGGCTCTCAGGTCGACCCAGCCTTGAGTGGGTACCGGGTGCAGTCCCGGGAAGTAGAGGCGGCCGGCCTGATGCTGACCACATCACCCATCTTGTGCCGTTGGTCTATAAAATATAGGTCTATCACTCTATGTCCTATACTCCTAAAAGCGTGGAAAAGTGTCTTTTACTTATATTGTATAGACCAGTCGGCTCCAGATGAGTTATGTAATTATCGTCACGTTGGCCGCTTTTACTTCACATGACCTTTCCTGGTACACATTTTAGGCTGGTTTGACCTAGGAGCCAAGTAGGTTTACCAACCCCCCTCCCCGGTGCGGATTCGAACTAAAGACCTTCACGCCGGCAGAAGAGCATTTAGCGACCGGCTACGCTACTGTGGCCTCCAAGAGACATCTCATATTATTATTATGTACATGCTGCAGCAGCTGCCAGATTATTATGTTGTTATTACCAGGTAACATGCCACATTGTGTGTCTGTCCACAGCAAACCAGACCCCAAAGCCAAGCAGGTCTCCATCGGACGCAAGAAATTCAACATGGATCCCAAAAAGGTAAACAGCGCTTGCATCTGACTTGTCTTGTCCTGAACGGGTATTCTCGTCTGCTGCCTCCCTTCCAGCCTCTTATCACATGTCCCTGGATCAGATTCGTCTGTTGGATGTTTATTGTGTGGGGATGTTCTTGTGTGCGGTGATCGATGGAGCAAGGAGGAGAACCCATAATGATTATAGTTATCATCTTTGGTTGTTGTGGGGGCTGGGTTGTTGGTGTAGTGCACGAGTCCTGGCAGGCGTTACTAGAGAATGGTGAAATGTCTGGTCTTGTTGATTATAGTTTGTTAGGTGTTTGATGCGCGCTCGCACACACACACACGGGGGGAGGGGGGGGGGAGGTAGAGTGCTACTCTTGTGGGTCTTAGATAAGAAAGTTATGGGGTGCCCGGTAGTGGGTTTTTTTAAGGCTTCCCCTTCCCCAGCATGAGAATCAAACAGGTTCAGATCCCGGTAACCTCCTTCAACCATATAGCCACATAAGACAGTTGTACTGGGGCACCGCACAATCTTTACAAAGTCACCTATAGTCCAATGTTGGTGGCTGGGTGATGGAATGTGTCTGTTACTGTCTTGTGTTTAGCTCAGCTAATTTGGGGCTAACGCGTACACGTTCAAACATTGAGAGCCGCGGTAATATAGTAGCTAAACGCTCACCTGCCGGCCCGAACGTTTTGAGTTCGAAACCACATCGAGACGACAATTTTTTCCCCTTTAAAATTGGCTGTCAGTTTAAGAAATAAAAAAAAAATTAAACATGTTAGTTACAGGACGTTGCAGAACCAACCCCAGCATTTTATTTTTGGGATGTTGTGATTTTTCTAGGCAAATTTTAGGTTAAGTAGTTTGCCATTGTCTCCTGAACGGTCAGGTGTCGGTACCACTGTCGAAACAACTTAAGACAAACCGTCTGCAGCTGGGATCGAACCCGGCACCCCGGCATTACGAAGCGCTTTCGTAACGCCTAAGCCACAGACGACGACAAATAAAAAAAAAAGAGAATTGAAATACTTTGGCCACATTAAAAGACATAACACACTTTAAAAAAACCGCACTTGAGGGAAAGGTCGAAGGCAAGAGAGCAGGAAATAGGCAACGATACAAGTGGGAGGACAATATAAAGAGATTGACGGGCAGCAGTCTGCGAGAGTGTACAACCAGAACAAGAGACAGAGCGTGTTGGAGATCCATTTAAGCCAACCTTCACTGTGGAGACGGTACCTGATTGAGATTAATTGAAAGTGGCTACCAGAAATATCCTAGGAAGTAAAGACATCACCAGTGTCGAGAGATCAGTAAAATTAAGAGTCTGGCATTAAATGCTCAATGCGCATTCGGAGTCAAAATGGCACTTTAGTGTTTTAACTTTACGTACTAGCAGTTATGGATATTGACAGCTAGAGAGATAAACAACACATTAACATGAGAATCGTCAAATGGGGTGGTGTATACATACATTTCATAATTCTCATTTTTATTATGCTGTCTAGGCAGACAACACATAGAAAACAAAATACCTACACCTTTCTGGCTAAAACCACCTTCTGTGTATTTTCTTTCATTAAGCTTCCCACTCATTGTAATACTTCAAACTTCTAGCCCAGTGTTCCTCAACCTGTTTACATCCGCGGCCCACTATAACTGGAAATTCATTCGCAGTCTACATGACAGCTAACCAAACCGAAACAAACGCAAATTTAGAATTTAGATAGCTGGGTTTTTTTTTTTTAAATTATGTATGTGTGGCTGGATGACGTACACACCTTAGGCATGGTGTATCAGCCTGCCAGGGCAGCGAAGGTTGCACAGGAAAAAAAACGGAGGCAGACTAGAAAGAACCGAATTGCTAATCCAACACTTACTGAAAATGTATCATTACTACTTTGGATGAAAAGTGGTCTTTAGCACTTTTGATGGACGAACAACATTCCGCTACGGAAGCATTGTTTCTGATGGGCGACGTGCAACAGTAACATCCATTAAATTTCCTTGTTTAATTCTGTTGTTCACCTACCCGAGGAAGACTTCGCACAAATATGAAGTCTCTGAGAATTTAATCATAAAGAATGGTAGAGAAAGAACCACCTGTCCTGCTTCAGTACATGATTAAGCATATTTTTTGTGGGGGGGGGGGGCGCGACCCACCAATGGACCCCGATTCAGGCGTTGAAGAACACTGTTCTAGCTCCCACGCTGCTCCGCCACCTGTAGACTCACATCTTGACCTTCAGCAGCCCGGGCCTGTGTGCTCATCCGCACATCCGCCACTTTTCCCCTCCGTTCGGGTATTTCACGAGTCCGCCCACTCAGGCAGCCCTAAACAAACTTCAACCCTGTTGTTTAGGTTACGCCGGAAGTATCCAGAAGCCGTCTGCTGAGCTTCTATCATGGCGCGGTTAAATCCAGAGGTCAGGGGATATTTTTAGACGTCCTTTTGATAAAGGGGATGCATTATGCTGATGTGTGTTGCAGCGGCCAAATGTATCTCAACTCTATACAGGAACTGGTCTGGTACTCAAATTATAGCCGTTATTAATTTCCTTGAAGACAGCAGATATGCATCTGGTTTCTAAGTTTTTCGTTCCGGGTTGGTGGAATGTTAAAGAAAGCAGAAATTTGAGATGTTTTGAGGTGGAATATATATATATATATATATATATATATATATATATATATATATATATATATATATATATATATATATATATATATATATCACACTCACACACAGACACACACACGCACGCCCATGCACACACACACAGACACACCGAATAGTTTTTGTATATGTTCTGTCTTGTTCGAGACAGATTGTAAAATTGCACAGGAAGTATGTGTTAACGTTTTTCTGTTGTTTCTTTGTAAACATACATTCAGGCCTCCTTACTACTACTGCATACATACATACATACATACATACATACATACATACATACATACATACATACATACACACACACACACACACACACACACACACACACATACATACATACATACATACATACATACATACATACATACATACATACATACATATATACATACATACATACATACATACATACATACATACATACATACATACATACATACATACATACATACACACACACACACACACACACACTTACACACTTACACACACACACACATACACACAGAGCACATGTGCTTGTCACGATTGTTTCTAAACACTGACTACTCGGTTAAAACAAGTACTAAATAAAACTAGAGATCTCTCTGTGGAGTCTGTCAGCCATGTTTGTCATTTAAAAAAAATCTCCAGCCTAGGAATCCACTTTTTCAGGATGTCATGCCACAAGCATGTTTTCACATAGGGGCGATTTGAAGACGATAACGTTTTGAGAGGGGATGGAAGAGTAGAATGGACACAGCCTTGTTGTTGTTGTTGTTCTTCTTTTTCTGCTTATTTCTTTTTCTTCTTCTCGTTACAATCGTTTCTTTTTTGTCTTCACAGGTTTATCGTCTCATTTATGATTTCATGCTTTATCAGCGCTTTCGTTGTTCTTGTCATTATAATTGTAAAGTATTGCTTGAAGTTTCTTATGTGTGTGTAAATGTGTGTTTGTATGGTGCACAAGTTTTTTCTGTGTTTAAGAATGCAAACGTCTGTACTTCCCACTATGTATATATATTATGGTTGATATGTTTGTTTCGCCGTTGTGTGTCTGTTTATATACCCACGGTTCTCATTGTGGAAAGGGTGTAGTATACTTCTTCGTCTGCGTTCGCTTTTAAAAGGGCGGTTAGCACATTCGTTTACAGCTAGGCTACAATACCGGCGCCTTTTGGAGCATCACATCCGACATCAGCAAACAGTCAGCCGTATTTCACTCAGTGTTGCCACTTTTCTTTGACAAAAAATATCCAAAACGGAGTCAAAAATATCTAAAAACATCTAAATTTGCGTGGAAAAATCTAGAAAAAACATCCAAATGAAAAGAGTCCCAAATTACATAGCTATTGATATGACTTATCCTATAGAGTCACGTCCTCATCTTTACTGAAGTCTGCCTCACAAGATCCACAGGATAAACTTAGCTTGGATGATGAAGTTAAAGCTTCAGATCCAAAATGACTGGTATGCTTTAGCTGTTCCAATTTCTTTTAATACACAATCAGGAAGCTGATAGTGGAACAGCCTTTTCCTACTCTTATCAGGCCGAATTTTATTGTCAAGAAAGCATTTAAGAGGTCAAATTTCATCCTGTTTCTTAGGTTAGATTTGATAAATTCACTCCAAATGAAAAACTACTACCATCTAAACGTCAAAAACGCCATCTAAATCTGGATGTAAAACACCCAAAGCGGCAACACTGCGTATTTTACTGCTTGGGTATTAATGAGCGGGGGATATGTACCTCTTTTTCTGTCTCCACCCCCTCCATCTGCAAAAACAGGGACATTAGTGTAATCACAGGCAGGGTTTAAAGAAGTAGAAGACGAGAGTGTTTTTTTTTTCGGTGTCCGAGATAGCAGAATTCTGACAGAAACACGCTAGTCAGCGAAAATCAAGAAGAGGAAGCTCTGCCCCCGGGCATCAATTTCCATGAACATGATTGTCACTTGGCCTCATCGTTTGTCAGTTTAGATTGAAACGCTTGTGGTGTGGCGGTGGTCGCCAGTCATATTTGCAGTGTATTTTTCTTTCCCTCATCTTTTTCTCCCATGTCTTGTTCTATCTCATCTTTTTTTCTCCCCCTCCCCTCCCCTCCCCCTTCTTTTGCCCTGTCTCTTCTGCTCTCATCCTTCACTCTTATTTTTTTCTCGTTTGCGTCTTCTCTCTCTCTCTCTCTCTCTCTCTCTCTCTCTCTCTCTCTCTCTCTCTCCATTTCTTTCCGCTGAGCATCGTCGCGCAGTAAATAGAAGCAGATCTGTGTAACTAGCCTGGACTTCAGAGTTTTCGGTGAGTTAAAAATAGAGACCAGGACAGCCTTAATTATGTCCGCATATATGTCTGACCAAACATATATTAA